GGCATTGGCTTATCAAGAGAGATCAGTGACAACTGGTTTATAGAAGAAAATCAGGTTTCATTTCATTACAAAAGAATTGGTAATCGCCTGTTTCCTCAGCTAAAGACATCACAAAACCATAGAATACCCACCCCAGGGCTGGGTACTCCTCACTGTCCATTGCTTTGTGTCTTATTCTTTGAAATTGGAGATCAGTATCATTAAGGGCCAACTCTGGCAGAGCAAGCTTTTAATCCATGGACCACATGTCAAATATAATGGATGAGATGATTGTTATTAGAAAATTGCCCTTCATTGAGAAGTTGACTTTTATTTAGATTGAAACAAATCCAGGATGGAACAGTTACAAGTTTCCTTTCAGAACCTAGATATTAAAAAATTGAAAAGTACTGATACAATTCAAGGACTTACACTCAGAACACTGTTACTTATATCGGGCAAGCAGTGCCACTATCTGTACTTTCTTTTCATGATCCTCCTTTGTTGTTTGCACTGGAGTTCTCTAGGTGACAATCTCAGAGCTCACATTATCTGTAAAGCGCCGTTTATGTGGTGCAAGCAACTCGTGAAACGTTTCTCAAGGTGTGGTCTATGGCCCACTTGGAACACACAGGCACCATGAATGTTCATATTTTATAGCAACAGAGAGCAGAGCGAGTCTGGAAATGGAAGGGAGGTGAGCAATACCTGTATAACACAGATGCAGATATTCCAGCCTACTCTATTACAGAATCAAAATCGCTTTTAGTCCAGGAACTTGTTTTTTAAAATACCCCTTTGTCTATACTAACACACATTAAAATTCTAAGGTTTTTTTTTTTTTTTTTTTTTTTCCAGTACTGGGGATGGCACTATAGAGTCCATAGGGCTCATGCATGCAAGTGCTCTACAACTAAGCTACACTCTCAGTCCCTAAGACATTCTTAAAATAAAAAATAAACTGTCATAAAGTATGTGTGTGTGTGTGTGTGTGTGTGTGTGTGTGTGTGTGTGTGTTTAGCTTGGGACTCTTGTTTTCCTTTACTCCCTGTCTCCTGTTAATTTTCATATAGCAACTATTTTCTTCTACAGAGTATTGTGAAATGAATAATATTATATTTGAAGGGTTTCATTTTTTCTGATATTACTTGCTCCTCATTTTAAATAATCATTCTGTTAGAGTATAAATGACTTTCATAGTGTGGGTAGGAGAGGCAAGAAGAGAGTTTCACCCTACTGATTGCCTTTAGAATCTCTGGAATGTTCATATTCTGGCACAGGGAGGCAGAAGTCATTTAGAAATGGCACAGACTAGGAAACTGACCCTCAAGTCTTGAGTTATTGCATAGAGAAACATTACAGAGTTCATAGGAGAGAGCATCTTAAAGTTGGGTACAGAGGAAAAGTGCTGGAGAGCTTTCACAAAATATTTCAAATCTAATATTTGAAATACACTGAACTATTATTTTTAAAATATTGGCTAACTTTCTAAATAATTACAGTACTTTGTCAATCTGTTCACTAGAGTAAATCATATTGTGCTACTTCAAAAGAGAAAAAATTTTAGCAATTTTGGTTTAGCTTGTGATCTTATGGGAGGGAAGTAATTCTTAGAGCACAGCTTCAAAGATTTAATATAAGATAAATAATTCTTTTCATCAAACTTAATATTAAATATAACAGAACTGCAGGCATAATTCATTTTAATATTAATATGAAATCAAGCACAACTTCTTTAGTCTGATTACTTTGGGATGTGAGCCTATTAAAGGCTCAAAAAATAAATAACAATTAGCTAAAACTTGAAATGAGCAAAGAAAATATATTGAGAATTTGTAGATGGATTTTATGCCATTTATATTAAAATGCTGTTGCTGTTTTCTGATGAGCAGGAGAAATAAAATAGCTGTTTAAAAGAAGCAGTGAAAAATTGAAGTTTGTTGGGATGATTTTTAGAAGGTGAGAAAAATGCTAATCCTTAGTTTTTCACATGAGAGGTAACCTGCCATCTTTTTATTTAACAAAATAGTCACTGAGTACCTCCTATGCACTTGGACTTATTCTAGGCACTTGGGTTTTAGAAGTGATACAGGACAAGGGAGAAAATAAAGTAGAAAAATTTGAAGGGACAGCAAAGAGGGTGCTGTTGCAATTTTACTTACATTTCAGAAAAGATTCACTGAAAAGACGACAGTAAAACACAGTCCATTCAGGACATGTGACACTGAGCTGCAGAAAATATTAAGTCATGAGCCTGGGAAAAAGTATTCAAAACAGATGGGATTTCAGACACAAGGATGCGGGGGCGGTGACATGGCTGCCAGGCTCAAGGAGCAACAAGGAAGTTGTTGAGCCTGGACTGACTGAGGGAGTGTGAGGTAGGACGCGAGAGTGGAGAGGTCTAGGGAAGCAGACTGGTAGGGCCTCGGACACCACTGGCATGGCTTTTGTAATTCAGATGAGACTCTTCTCTCAAAGACTTGTGAAGAAAGCAATAACAAAGCTGACTTTTATTTTCAAAGGGACATTCTTGCTGTTAGGTTAGGAGGAGATGCTAAAGAAATTAGGGCAGACCCAACAGCAGGTAAGTAAGGTAAGGAATGATGGCAGCTGGAACCCACACTGTGGTGATGGAAAGTTGGTGGGATTCTGGGTTTAGTTTGAAGGCAGATTCGTGGAATTTGTAGATAAAATGGATATAGCTTCCAGGAGAAGAAAAGGAGTCAAAATGACTCTAAAGAGTTTAGCCTAAGTAAATAGAAGGCCAGAAGTGCTATTTACTGAGATGGGAAAGATGGAAAAAGACACAGATCTAAGTGAGCAGGCCTCAGAAGTTTGATTTTATGCATTATTAACTTTGAAATACGCAATGAATTTCTACTGGAGTTATGATCAGTTGTATACACAATTCTGGATTTTAGGGGACAATTAGGACCTGGAATCATAGCTAGGGAATAAAGTGAAATGAAGCGATATTTAAAACCACGGATTTACTGCTATTTAAAGCCAGAAATTTAGAGTTAAAACGAAAAGTCTAAAGCTGTATTTCAGGTACTCTGATCTCTCAGTGTTAAATGATGGGGGAAAAGAGAGGAAGCAGGAGGTAGACTGAGAAGTCAGACAGCAAGAAATGTTAGAACATTACCAATAACTGTTTTTTCAGAGGGCGTTGGCAATATATGGGCTCTAATGGTCATGCCTTTTAGTTTGTTTAAATATTTAGATTTTTTTTTCTAGGATTCATCTGAGTATTTACCACTGACCCATAACTGCTTGACATCAACTCTAAATTCTAGTTCTCTCTTTTCTTTCTCACTCCCTTCTGCCCATCAAGCCTATCTTACATTCCCTTTGAATATATTATTGGCAGTGTGACTTCATCTAAGTTTCTAATGCTTCTTTGACAACTGTCAAGAGTAATTTGGGAATACCTCCGGTGAATGTAATGGGCGAGCGAACTGGTTAATATTGCTTTTGATCAGAGCTTCAGCCTGACTATCGAATGAGAACACCAGGGTTACTGTGTTGTTTATATGCAATTTCAATAGGCGTCTTCTAAGATGTTCTGGTTAGTGACAACATTACCGCAAAAATATTTAATTTCTAAGAGGACTATTTTCACCACTATCACGTATCACATATAACTCATATACACTACTTCTTCATATTTTATTGTTTAATCATGTGTTGATATAGATAGCGGTGGTGATCTGCGGCATGCCTGCTGTGGCAGGCTGTTTGTATCTCCGAAAGCTCTACATGGTTCGTCACCCCTGACGCAGATGCTTCAAGTCCATGAGCACACAGGTAGCCATAAATAATAACTGACTGGATCTTCATCTCCCAGTTTAAAAGTTTCTTAGACACCTGTCATTTTCATTTAAGATGACTGTCTTATCAAAAGCAATGGAAAAATGATTATTTTAATGAATAAATATTTATAAACACTTTAAAAATATTTGTGCAGATATTGCAAAAGTTGCCGACTGTGATTCCCACAGACTTATCAACAGACATCTTTGCATGTCTGGCTAAGTCTAAGTTTATGAAGGAGGTAGCCCCTGCCAATTCAGGCCAATTATTTGTTTACTGAACAAATATCTATGAAGTATTATTGTGTACCAGATGCATGTCATGTGGAGAGCAGTTTGTTCCTTTAGTTCCTTCCAACACATCCTGAGAGATTTTTATGCATAAACAAGACAGCTGCAATTGTGGCTTTCTTGTGAAGAAAACAATAACATCCAGTGCAGTATTCTGCTGTGTGTAAGCCAGGTTTTGATTGGAGGCCAGGAAGATGGGAAGAGCTCGTAAGTTTTAGAGTTACCACTGTCTCCAGGCTCAGATTGTTGGGCATGTATCCCGTGATGCAGAAGGCTCCCTCTCTTTCACAATGACAATTTTCATCTACTATCCTTGCTGTGACTTGAACCATGGCGGAGTGGGGTGTAATTGAGAGCAGGGCTTTTTTTACTTACCCTTACAGACTAACTACAGATTTGGTTCTAGGTCCTGGGAATGCAAAGATGGGACTCTTATTCTCAAAAATATAACACGTTGTGGGGACAAAGACATACATGTAAGCAATTACATCAAAATATGGTAACTAAGATGATGGTATAAACTCAAGGTACAATTTTGTGGGGGAAATGAAAAGCCCTTCACAGAAACTGCTGTCCAAGAGATCATCAGTCTTCCACCAATCTCAAAGGATAAGATGGATCCAGGCTTTTTTCTTTTAGCTCTCAATTCCAGCTTTCTTCACTTGTTTTTCCTGACAGGGTCTTTTGAATAAAGTCCAATTTCAATTCTCGGACTCTCACTGTGAAATATTTCCCAGTCTTTACCCTAAGGATGATCATCATACTGAGACAAAAACATTGTAATTGGCTCATTGTTCTTCACTTAAGCTTGATTGCTAGGCCCATTTCTCTTACTAATGTTGACACTAATTGCCCAAAGAAGTCAAGCGATGTCTAAACATAAGATTACACAGTTCTTATTAAATATAATAAACTTACAATGTTTTTCATGTGTTTTACCAGTATAGTCAGCTTTGCCTCCTCATGTGATATCACTAGCTGCACCTTAGGATTCTTGTCTGCAGACTTCTCACCTGACAAAATAAGAATTTCATAGTGAATTAACACTGAAGTACTTCAAGTAGTTCAAAGTATGCATTACACTAAAATAGAGCCAGTGAACAATATGTAAAAGAAACATCTTATGCTGAAATCATAATACTCTTCGGGAGGCAGATTTTTAATTAGAAGTAGAGTTTTTTGTCTAATCTTCCTGAACTATCTCTTCTTTGTAATATACTATGTTTTGTTTTGATTGATAGCCACTACTTTTGCAGCTACTTATGCTTTAAATCTCATTGTCCTTTTGGCTTCAACTTCTCCTAAATGTTCAGTATATAAGCTTAAAGTATTAGGGATCATAGAGGTTAAAGGTGTAGGCTTCAGAAGTTTTTCAGTCTGGATTCACTATTATTCTATCCTGTAGTCCACATGTTAATTTTACAAACTTCTCTATTAAATTTTTGGAGTTGTTTCTCATATTTTTCCCTTCATTTAAAATGATCTTGCTCGTCATTTTTGGCTATGGAACTGTTACCTTATTTCAAGGCCTGATTAAAATGCAAAACAGTTTCTGTGGTCACTTCCTCTTGAACTCTCCTAGCACAGCCTTCATTATTTAATATTTGCATTGTAATTATTTTACATGTAGCAGTTGATTTAGTGGATTACTGTCCATCTCAGAATTTATTTTCCTGTAATATTAAGGGATGTATGCCAATGTTTGTTCCAGATGTACACAGTGAACATTTATTCAAAAGCAAAAGTAATCCCAAATTTTCTTTGAGTTTTGTCACTAAAATGAAGACTTTCCATTTTTGCTTTAAAATTTCTGGCTTATAGCCCAAGGAGTAAGCATAATTTACAGCTTTTGTGATATTTCACATGATGTTTTCTGTGTGTTCTCAGAGGGAATTTAGACAGAAAAAAACTTATTGATGAAAAACTTTTCACTGTTCAGTTATGGGCCTTTTGTGGTCCATATTGTTTTCTGACAGTCAGTTTGAACTCTCTAATCTCCTCTAATGATTTGAAAATTACATGTGAACGGTATGTTTATCCCCTAAAGCCTCTTACATATTTATTATAGTAGTTCACTCATCACATGCAGGTAATACTAAGTACTTTTATTGACAGTGTGGATTATTGATATTGAAAAAAAGTATTTCTTACAGCGGAGATGTTTATTTGATAACTATAGTAAAATCACTTAAAATGTTTTTATTATAATGACCAAAAGACTTTATAAATTAATTTTGAATGTAGCACTGAGACAATCACATTTTGCAATAAAAAGCTCAAGTTTTGGTCTGAAAGTGCTAAGTATACTGACGATTATTTTGATGCACAATGAATATTATATTTGAATTAAAAAGGGAAAGAATTATTAAATAGAAACTCAGTGTATTTTATCATAGGAGTTTTAATTCACAGGTAGGAAAGTAGCATAAACTTACAACTAAGTGCTTAAATAGTCAAAGTAAAATTGCTATTTGAACCAACTGAAGATGAAATTATACACAAAACCTCTTGTGCAAGACTAGTAACCAGTTTCCATCAAAGCATGCAGGAGTTCAGAACAATTAAGACATGATGATGAAGTCTTAATAGTCAATGTACTAGTAGTAGACTTAATATTTCTGTCACTTTTACCAGGCTAAGTGCTTTATGTAGATTAACTCACTAAATCCTCAAGACAAAACTATGAAGTTTGTGTAATCTCCATGTTACATGCAAGGAAATAAAGGTATTTGGTCCAAGATTATGCAGACAATAAATGATGTAGAATTAAATGATCTCCAAAGCCATTTCTGAACAACATACCGTAAAAAGAGGGCTGTAACATAAGAGAAATAGTTTAAATGAAGATCCAATTTAAGGACAGCTTGATATGGACAAAAAATGCTGAACATTTTGATCTTCTGCTTCAAGTTTGCCTACAGGATTTGACCTATCCTTTATAATGATCTCAAAAACTTTTAAAATATTACTGATCTGAGGATGATTGTATTGAGATGCATGAGTGCATAATGCTACAGCAGCTAATACATAGTTTATCATGCATGTGTCCCCTTGCATAGAAAAATAGCATTTCAAAATTTAACTGTTTTTTAGTTAACATGTACATATGATTACAAGATGAAGGGTTATTTTTAAAGTATGGAGTCAAATGTCTTTCCCCCACTTTGCCACCCATCCTGCCTATTCCCTCACCACTCTTTTAGAAGCTTCCCATACATCTTTCTAGAAAGATATGTACCTTTCTAGAATTGCTCTATCTAAGCAACTATGAATAATTAATTCTATTTCCCACTTTCTCACACAGGGCATGGCCTATTTGCCGTTCTTCACAAAGGTCTTGGGGAAACTTTTAGATCAATAAATAGAGTTTTAAAAAAAATGTTTAAATATAGCCTCCATTATATGGAAGGACCATGATTTATCTATTTCCCCACTGATGGGCAGGTAAGTTGTTTCCAGTATTTTGTGGCTATTGCAAATCACATCACAACAAATAGCCCCATAGACCTGTGTCAAAGTATACCTGTGCACAAATATCTGCGATAAAATTCTAACAACAGAATTGTTGGTCAAAGCATGTAAGTATTTGTAATTTTGATAAACATCACCAAATTGCCTTCCATGGAGGTTGTACCAGTTTGTATTATCTCTAGCAGTGTGTGAGAGTGCCTGCTGATTTATAACCAGTCGAATTAAATTTTTGGGTGTTTGCCAATCTGATGAGAAAAAATTGGTGATGGTATCACTGTAATTTAATTTGCATTTCTTTTATGAGTGAAGTTGAGTATCTTTTCATTTGGTTAAAAGCCACTTCTATTTTGTGAGTGGTGTGTGTGTGTGTGTGTGTGTGTAGTATCTTTTCACAGTCTTTATTCAATATTCTGTTTGGCTGTTTAGTATTTTTTTTTGCTATATTCTAGAAGATGCTTATGTGTTAGATAATCAGGCTTTGTCTGTAATGAATTGCAGATATTTCACCCATCTTGTCATTTATCTTAGGTTATTTCTTTACCATGTTTAATGCTGCGCAAAGTTATTAGCCTTTAGATTGGCAGTGAAAGTTGTAGATGTACATTTCAAAATGATAAAGAATTTTTCCCTGTGGTTTTTTTGCTGTATGTATGGTTTCATTATTTACCTTTAAAATCTTTTCTCTACGGGTAATTTATCCAAGCATGTACCCCAACATCATTTATTGAATTTTTCTTAAATGTTTTGTTCACATACTAAATTCCTAAATTTACTTGGCTCTATCTGTGGGCATTCTGTTATGTTCCATTTATTCACCTACTTATGCTCCAGAATTATACTGTTTTAATTATTGAGGACTTTTAATGTGTTTTTATAGCCAGTCAGGCTTGTTTCCCTTCATTAGTCTGCTTTTATTACGTATTCCTGGCTTTTCTTTGTTTATGAGCTGTAGAATTAGGTTACCTAATTAAAAATTAATTTGCTAATATTTTTAAGAAATTATATTACATTTCAAAATTAATCTTTAAGATACTGAATCTCCTTCTTCAAGAACATGATATGTGTTCCCATTTGTTTAAGGCATCTTTCACATTACTTAGTGGTAATCTAAAGTTTTCTTCATTTGGCCTTACACATTTCCTATTATATTATTCTAGAATATAATTTCTGTGATATTCTTCTTCAATCAGCTATGAGAGATGAAATAATTAGAAAAAAAAACCTTTAGCTCACTTTCTTTACCTCTTTTCCTTCCTTGGTAGGGTACAAATAAAAGCTTAAAATAGTTTCCTAAAAAACATGAGTTTATAAGATATAATATAGCAAAATGACTACTATTCTTAAGCTTTCACCTGAATGTTGCTAAAACAACTTAAATAGAGCATTTAATCTCTAAGTAGTCCTATTTTTCATTTCTCATCTTTCATATCATTAACATTTTTATTATGTATTTTTGCTTAACACATAATATTCACACATATTTGCAAGGACCCATATGATGTTTTGATTCATGTATCCATTGGGTAGTGATCAACTCAGTGATTGATTAGCATATTCACCACCTTGAAATTTCATAATTTCTTTATGGTAACTACTTTTCAAACTCTTTCCTGCTTTACAATTGCTATATAATGCATTGTTTATAAATATATTCACCATACTGTGCCAAAGAACAAGACAGTAGTACTTATTCCTCCCGTCAAATAATAACATACAATGAAAATTTAAATTGAAAACCCAAGTTCCATAAGGTAATCTATAGATAATTGATCTGACTTCTGGGAGAGCAAGTAACTAGACCTAACCAGTGAAACCATGCCTTTGGGCTTGCATGCCTTCAATTCTTTTTTAAATTGACCTCTTAAAGTAGAAATACTAATGTGAGAAATGATTGAAAGATTGTGTTTGCAATCATTTGTAATTATCAGTGTTGTCTAAACACACTCATTAATGCATCTCCTTAACCCTGACATTTGTTTTCTTTGATCCTGTTTGACTCCATTAGTTATGTTATTATTTCTGTTTCTTGACAAAAATCTATCTTCTGTTGCATCAGAGCTGTGTGGGGGTGGCAAATGGAGTTTTTAATGTTTGGGGTGCGTGGGTGGAGGTGTTTTTGGCGTGGAGGGTCTTATGTTGTGGGTGATTGTCCTTAAGAGTCTTGGTCCTCCACTGATGGCACTAGTGAGAGGTGGTGGCCCCTATAGGAGGTGAGGCCAATGGAAGAAAGTTAGATCACTGGAGAACTGCCCTAGGAATTGGGACCCTAACCCATCTGTTTCCTCATCTTTTTGTTTCTCTGCCTCTGTGAACTGATCAACTTTGTTCCACCATGTGCTTCTACCATAATGCAATTTCTAACAACAGGTCCCAAGGCAATATGCCCAATGGACTGTGGACAAGAATTTCTGTAATTGTGAACTTCTTTCTATGTTGATTATGTCAGGTATTTTATAACAGTAGCACAATATATAGTATCATATCATTAGTTAGAAGTTCTGTGTTTAAGATAAAATTCAACTTTCTTGGTAGAACTTTGGTTGGGTCTGGTATACGTAATATTCAATGTATAATTTCTACAATATATCTCCCACTTGACACTTCAAAATAATTCTAGTGTTTGGGGGACTTGGCTGTCTTGTGCCAAGACTTCTGCACAAGTAATAAGTGTGGCTTTTTTCTTAATTGTCCTTTTAATAAAAATGACATCCCATCTTGATAAAGAATAGGAACGTATTTCTATGGTTGTTCTTTCTGACATCAGCCATTTATTTTGAGATTGTTCATGGAGCATCCAAAGCAAGTCAGATGGGGTACTAGACCCTGGGAATGCAACAGTGTTTCCTTACAGCTGTGGATTATCCTATTAAGGATTTTTAGTTTGAAAATAAATACACATGCATGCAATATACACACACTTTTTTTTTTTTGTACTTGGGACAGAACCTGGGCCCTTGCACTTGCGGGGCAGGTGGCAGAACCACTGAGCTAAATCCCAGCCCCAAATGTTTTGAAGAAACAACATTATAGGAGTATCTGAGTTGAAATCTGAAGGGTGTATAAAAGGATGAAGAAGAGAGAAGTCCAAAGATCCAGTCATCAAGAGTGGCATCTGTGAAGGCTCTGAGGAGGTTGTCCTAATTAGGAACTGGAAGAAGATAGAAATGAAGGTGGCAAATGGCCTGATAGTGGGCTGGCAAGGGGGAGTTGTGGGTTGAGATGCCATGAGGAGGATTTAGGTCTTTATCCTATTGCTGGGGCCAACTACATAATTCATAAGGCCTAATCCCAAAGAAAAACGTGGCATCTGGTCTTTCAAAGCTTGTCAAGAATTTCAAGACATTAGCAGCAAAATATTGCCCAAGACTGGGATCCTGACCTGCTTTGTTATGTAGTGCATGAAGCTGGCCCTGCGTAAAGAAAATGGGAAGCCAAGAAAAAGTTTTCAGTAGAGAAGAGATGACTGGGCTGACAATTGAAAAGGACACTTCTATTATTCTACCATGGCACGTTTAGTTAGTGGGTAAAGGAGAAGGCTTCATATCTCTCAGATGGTGGTTACATAAATGCCATTAATATAGTCTCCAAAGTTCCTGTGCCTAGATACACGATATCCAGATATTATACTCTTTTTAAACTCTTGTTATTAGTTATATAGATGAATAGTTTTCATTTTGGCAGATCTATACATGAACATAATGTACTTTGATCATTTTCACTCCCTGCAAGTTTCCTGTTTGCTCTATTCATGCCGTGATTTCACATTTTTTGGGGAGAATGTTCAATGTATATATTTTACTCATATCCTTCATTACTCATATCCTGCATTAACTAGTGCAGGTGTTCAAATGTTAAAGTCTAGGATTTTCACTTAAGATGGTCTTATTTACATCAATATTTTAATATACCTGAAGAATCTTGCCCTCTATTTAACAAAATAAGCTTACACTTTCAAGTCATTGACAAGAACAGTGCTTAAAATAATTACTGGGCTGCTTGTAATAGAGTCAGCTGATATCCTATGACAAAAGATTAAGTATTCAGTAGCACGAAAGAGGAAATAATCTGAAGAGCCCAGAAGGAACAACTTCCTGCTTATCCTTGTTTATTGTAGTTATTTGCATATTCAGCTAGGAAGATGTGTTGTATTGTTTTAAGATAATAGGCTACATCTAACCTTCAGCCTATAAGTTAATAATGTTGAGAATCAAATTTTTTGTCATTTATCCTGCTGAAGTAAATTTTGAGTATTGATGTTGTAAAAAATTGTTTTAAAAAGAAAATCTTCTTGTGACCATTTTAGTTTTTACAAGAATAAACCCAATTCTTTTGTGTGCATATGTATTTCAAAGTGACTTTTAGAGAAATAATACCATAGCAAAATTTAAAACCTGATAGTTATCTGATGTTTAACTTGTTGAAACCCAGGAAAACAATATCATTGAGGGACTTTAATGTCATAATTGAGGAAGCCTATTATCTCTTTTTGTGTGATGTCTCTAGAATTCTGCAGCCTCCTTTTTGTAAAATCTAGATTATTCTAGCTAATGGCATTTATTTTAAAAATCTCTCCACCTGGGTATTTTTAGAAGGTATCTGTTAGCATTTGTGAATGATGATAATAAAAATAGAAATATTTTTAACTGGGGACATCATTTTTCTTCTGAAAGATGGAAGCAACTGTCTTATTTACCTAATATTGTGTATACATTTTGTTTCTAGCCTATTTTTTCTTGCTGTTAAGCAAAGCATCTTGGAAATGATGTCAACTAATGAATAAAATGTGGAGCAATGACAAAGGTCCAATTTTCAAGCATTCATTTAGGATTTGTAAATATAGAGCAATACACAGTGGGGAAGTGAATTCTTGATGTAAACTTTTAATTAATCAGTTTAACAGGAAAAGAAGCAAATGCAAATATAGTTCTATAATTTAATAAATGATTATGCTAGACATTGGGATATTGTTCACAGAACTATACTCCTGAAAGAATAAGTAACTACAATGTTGATATCAGCAGAATGATATACAGATGATGGGACTAATGTTAAAAATAGAGAATCTGAAATTAGATGTAGGTAAAATAAAGATTGAGAATTAGAAGGTCTGGCAAAATCATGGATTTGTGATCTTGAGATTAAAAAAAACCTGGTATGTTGGATGGCTTCTCTTTGCCATGGAATTATATCACAAGTGCTTAAAATTGATAGAATATATAAAAGGGTGTCTGCCGATCTAGGAGAGATGGTGTAAATGTTAATCAGAGTTAGGCCAGTACATATTTGGAAGAGAATAGGGTGTGTGATCATGCTGGGTTCCTTTGGCATCCATCCCTGTAAGAGTTTGTGTACAAAGTAGAATATTATTGATCCTTAAAAGATAGGAATGTAATTGCTTGATAATTCATAATCATTTATAATATGATATTTATTTTTGTTGCTTCCTAAAATGTGGAATAAACTGTAATACCTACCTTTGGGGAATAGAGACTTCATTTCTGACACATAATTTTAACCCAACACGCAATTAAGTGAAGTGTATTCATAGTAGGATATCACATAGTTATTCTCATTGGATAAACCCATGTGAGTTTAATTTAATTCAAAGAATATATTCTAGGGTTTAAAAGATTTGGAAAGGGTTAGAAAGGACTAGTTAGGACTTAGTCTTAAAGAGAGATTTTAATTTGGAAATTGAAATATTGTGGTTCTGATATTTTTACAGTTATATTGAAGCTCTATCACTGCATATGGTCATAAGGATGAAATTACTTGCCTGGGTCCACAAGTGAAGATTCTTCAATCATTCGTTCCACGGGCTCAGAGAGGAAAAAAGTAAGTACACAATCACTCTGCAAAACAAAGGGTAATATTCCTTAATATATTTATTTGCTACTCTTGTCACTGATGCGTGAAAACATTGCTGTATATGTGTGATTTTTATAGATGCCTGTTTCAGACTTCCTAAATAGAGAAAAATATAATAAGACATTTACTAGGTCATTGCTATGTTTTTGCAATAAGGTAAACTGATCTTTTATGGGGTTGAAAGTCAGACTATACTTCTTCAAGACACTCAAGTGTGCTCCGCTGCTAGAGCTCACCATAAATGTTTACATTCTGAAATTTTATAATTATACATGACTCTTACATTGCTTTTTCCTATAAAAGTTGCGCCTTTGCACAAGCCTTTCTGGAAATTATAACTCTCAGCAGGACAGAGAGACTCTTTCAGTGAGTATGTATTACTCAATTTTCAGTTCACCAAATTTCAGAGTTCTAACTGCTCCCTCCAGCATTCAGGAATGTCAGGGGAAAGTTGGAGAATGAAAGATGTACAAGGTGATCTCTCTACTTAGGACACAACCTAGGCGAGGAGACATTACATTAAACACTTTAGTAAAAAATAGTAGTTTTGGGTAACTTTAGTTATAAAAATAGGGAAGGTCATGAACAAATTGGCCTTCAACCTGAGCTCCAAACGAACGGCTGATTGTCAAATCTAAGAAGAGCGTTTTCTTAGTGAAGCTGACCTGCATTTTGTAAGCGGTTATGGTTTGTGCCTAGATGTCCCCAAAGTTTCATGAGGTCATAGATCGGGCTTTTTAAAGTAGCTAGGATTAAGTGTGTGAAGCCGAGATTATGGGTATCCCACTCTGCATGTGGGTGGCACTAATCCATAGGCTTTATCTACCGGATAGGTGATAAAGGGACTGAAAGAAGCTGCTGCCACCTTTGTTTGCTGCTGCTGCTTCTGTTGCTGCTGCTTGTCCTCTGCTGCCTCCTGCCTGCTCTGCCAGCCTCCTCTGCCACACCGACCTGCCCTGGAGCTAGCTGATTAAGAAACCTCTACGACCTGTGAGTCAAAATAAACCTTTCCTCCTTTACATTTTGATGTTGGCTATTTTGTCTCATCAAGAGAAAATCAGCGAAGACATAAGCCATTATAACCAACATAGCCCTCCCTACGAGCTTTTGGATTATTCTCTAAGGGGTGCACTGGATAATTAATTATTTTCTCTAGGTACAGGCTGAAGTGGTAGTGGCTGTCAAAGGTGCCTGACAGTCTCCTTGGTCAGCCTTCTCTCTCCTTTCCATGCAGTGGCTTTTCCAACTTCTCCCAGAAACTTTAACTTCCAACTCTGACTCCTTCTTTGCCGATAGCTGTATCTCCCCTTCAGAGAACATAAAAAGCTGTTGGAAATTTCCACGCATCCTGCCATAAAAGCTTCAGACTCACACAGTTACTCTTTCTAGTTCCTTTTTCTTTCAAAGGAAGAATTGCCTTGCTTCCCATTCATTATAGATGGAATTGTGGTCCCCATCAAATTCATATATTGAAGTGCTGATCTCTAGCAACTCAGAATGTTGTCTTATTTGGAAACAGAGTCACCGCAGGCATAACTAGTTATAGTATGATGGCATCATACTGGAGTAGGGTGAGCTCCTAGTTCGGTATGATTGGTCTCCTTAAAACAGGGGGCAACCTGGATACTGACGATCTTAGAGGGAAAACAATGCGAAGAGACATATGGAGAATATGGTCCTCTGCAAGCCCAAACCAGGGCCCTGGGACAGAATTTTCCGTCACAGACATCGGAAAGAACAAACTCTGCACATAGCTTGATTTCAGACTTCTAGTTGCCAGAAGTGTGAGATAACAATGCAGGTTTTTGTTGTTAAGCCACTCAAGTTGTGGCATTTTGTTACGGCAGCTCTAGAAAATTTTCCAATATCGATTCCTCCTTCACTGTCCTGGACTCTATTCTTTCCTCTTCAGGAAGCTTATAGATATAATTTAACATCTTTATCCTCTTCTTTTTCATCGGTATACAATGTTGTTAGCTGTCTGTATTTTAAAAACTAATAAGTCCATGAGTCAAACACGTGCAGGATGTGCTCACACATATAACACCATGTAGTTAGTGCCTTCTGACAAGAACAAACTCATGGGAGGAGCTGTTTGCACTCCTACAGGTTCTACTTCCATTTCTATTCATTGTGTGATTGGCTATGCGCAGGTTCTAACTAACTGTCCCCTGAATATATATTTGTTTAAGCACTAAATATCTTTTTTCGTTTTCATGTCTTTTACCCAAAATCCAGTGGAGATTTCCTTGATCCCTAGATAAATGATTTTAGTGATGTGTTCATTTTCATTTACTTATATGATTCCAAATTCTCAGTTTGTCCTCCCTTTGTCCTGCCATCTCATTTTCAGATGTCTTTTCTTTAAGTTCTAAGGTTCTTTACTTCTAAATCCATTGCTCTCATTACTCAAAGGCATTCTTTCAGGATGATGTCATCATAGTTGCCGGCATCTGTAATGATGCACAAATCTATATCTTTGTGCCAGATTTGTCACTCAAATCTCAGCTCTCTACACCCACATATCTCTTTGTCTACTCTCTTGACTGCTCTAAAATAATTCAGACTCTAAAAGTGCCACAGAAAATACATTTTGTTTTCCCTCACCTCAATTTGCTGCTTCTGTGTCTTGGTTCAAAACAAGGTGCATCCCCTTTGCCTCTGTTCTCATCCTGCACAGATCACTGTATCATCTCTGAAATAGCTCACTGACCGTTTCTTCTGTCTAGTATTATCGATTTTCAACCAGTTTATAGCAGCGGATCTTATCTCTCATCTTGCTACTCTTTACTCCATTCTCCACACAACTGCCAAACTAATCCTTCAAAATCATAAGCTAACAATTAACTTTTAAAACATGGCAGGAGTAATGGGTCCCAGTGGCTATTAAGAAAAAACCAACAGCCCTACAAAACTTATGAGGTTGTTCTTACTTGGAATCTCTCTCTCTTCTTCCTGTCCTGACTCTTACCTTGAATTTAACTCTGTGGAGTTACATAGATTTCTTCCAATGTGGCACCTCGCTCACCTCCTTGTCTTCCTCATGCTCCTTTCTCCTTATTTTCTACCCTACTTCCTCTGTCGCCCAGAGTTATCGTGAGCTTTTTACCATTGTTAGTCTAGTCAGTGAGATATCAACAGCAGAGATGATTTACTCACTCATGCATAATACAATATTTCAGTTCAATAAACATCTGTCACAGGGACGAACTGAGATCTGTCCTTAAATATAAAATGCACTAGTTCTAATGCAAATATTCTTATCCACACAGCAGTTTCTTTATCATCATGAATTAGTCAATTATTGATTTTAATCTCTACTTACTGATTTCTGGTAAGGTTATTTAATAGGACTCTACTCTTAAGAAAGAAAATCCATATTTAAAGTGCTGACCATATCAAGTTTTTAAAATATATTTTGAAAGTTTAAAAACAAACAGGCTGTGCTAAATTTGTTGAAGAAAATTAGACCTTCTTTAGCCTCTTGACAAGTAGTCAATTACTCTTTTTTGACAAAAGTTTTACCTTACCACTCAGTGGTTATTGAACTTCAAAACTAGGTAAGATTCCTTTCCAATTAGCATCTGAAATGTCACCACCAAGCAATCATTCCTTGCATTTACACTGTCATATCTTTAAAGTTCTCATTTATAATTCAGAGTAGGGATGATACACTAATTCATATTTTTTAATATACAAGATTGCTTCTTTTTTAAGGGGAAATGTGATCCACTATATAGATGAAGAGGGTAAAATAATATTGTTCAATCTCATGATAATAAATCATTAAATTTTCTTAGATTTGATCTCAAATGTGTGCAAGTATCCCACAGCCTTGAGCACATTACACTGCTAGGTAGTTTGAAGGCTTACAGAAATGTTAGTGTTATAATTGGTCTCACTTATAATCAGCACCAGTGCTTGCAGTTGGGTTTGTATTAATTGCCAAGCAGTGTGGCACATTTGGTTATGTAGATTGGATACTACATAACTTCAAAGGTGCCATTTTTATGTTGACTGTGGTATATAATCATGCAGGGTGCTCCACTTATAGAGTTGCAAGGTATAGTAAATAAAAATGAAGGATAGCTATGCAATACTTGGGATATACTTTTTTAAAGAAGTTTTGCTTATCAAAAGTTAAAATTTAACTGGGTAGCCTCTATTCTCTCTAGCACTGATAAAAAAGGTGGCATTTGCAAAGTGTGTGAGCATACCTTTGGCTGTTTCAATGACTAAAGGGTGCAACTGACAATAAGAGACAAGATCAATTATTCTACAATATATAGAAGATTACCCCATTTTGAGTATGTTGTGTCGGGTGTATAGCTCAGTTGTAGGGTGCTTGCCTTCTATACCTAAGGCCCTGAGTTAAATCTCTAGAGCTAAAAAAAAAAAAAAAATCCTCAAGTGGTAATAATTTCCCAGGTGAAAGTTCTTTAATTTCTTCATTCTAGAAATGAGAAAACTAAACACCAGAGAAGACAGTGGTTGACTGAGCAAAATCGATACCAACAAAACATTGCTTCAGTGTGGCCCTTAAGTGTAGGCTCACTCATGTGATTCCGAGCAGCCTACAGAAATGAAGACTGGGGATACAGAACAAAGGGACAGAGGATGAGAGAGTGAGGCATCCCAGTGTGCTAATGTCCTGTGTATGAGTAAAGCCAGTGTAACCCATGGATGAATTTTAAGCAGAAATGCATCATGACTGCATTTGTTTAGAAAGATGACAGTGTGGAACTGTAGGAGAAAGTAGACTTCAAGCAAACAGCATCCCTGAAGAATATCATCGGGAAATCCACCCCCACACCTGTTGTCTTCTCTGAGCATTTCTTCTGCTTCCACTTTAAGTTTCTGAAATGATAGCAAATGCTGTCTGTTCGCTGGGTATGACGCAGATCTCCTCCTTGTATCTCCTGCTTTTCTAGCTTGCGTTCTTCCCTTGTAAAAATGCCTGGGTTTGAATATCATGTCTACTGACTGTACTGCGCTCCATCCCTTGTCTCAATTGCCTAAGCTGGGTCACTGCACCTCATGTTTTAATGACTTTTAGTCTTAGCACCTTTTCACTTGTTGCGATGGTATTCTTGTCAGCATTCACACTTACTTTAACGTTCACAGACATATCCGTCAGTAACCTAGATTGTTTAATCTTGAATTCCTCTCCTGCGATGATTTGGTCCAACGCCCTGTTCAGCCTCTCACTCCTCTTCCCTTGATCTTGCCTTGAGCAATGACCCAAGTCTTTCCATTATCTTGCTTTCTAGTCTCTTCATCTTTCTCCCTTGGCAAAACTCCGAATTCTGTTTCTGTATTTCCTGCCAACTCCGCTGCTGTAACAGGCCCGTTGAGTGTTGCTAGAGAAACACACTGGACCATGCTCACTGGTCTCACTGTAACCACAGGCCTACTACCTTGAAGCGGGTCTTCAGGATTTTCTGAAAATTCTACAAAGAAAGAGAAAGAGGAAGAGGAAGCAGAAGAAGCAGAAAGGAATTCCCTGCACTCCCACCAACAATGGAGAAGGGTTCCTTTCTCCCCACAGCCCTACCGGCATTTGTTATTGGTTGATTTCTAGGTAGCAGCTATTCTTTCTGGGGTAGGGTGGAATTTCAGTGTTGTTTTCATCTGCATCTCTTGAATGACCAGTGAGGCTGAACATTTTTTCATATATTTATTTGCTGCTTTTACTTCTTTGTCTGAGAAATGTCTGTTTATTTCAGATGCCCATTTTTGAATTGGATCTTTGTATTTGGGGGGCCTGATTTTTTTGAGTTCTTTGCATAAAGCAACCACTGTGGAAATCAATATGGAGATACCTTAAGCAACTAGGATTAGAGGTCCCACTTGACCCAGCTATTCCTCTGCTGGGTATCTTCCCAAAAGAATCATACCACAGTGATGTATGTGCACCCATGTTTATAGTAGCACAGTTTTTAATAGCTAAAACTCGAAAACAGCCCAATTGCCCAATAACTGGAGACTGGATAAAGAAGATTTTTTAAAAATATATAAAATGGAGTACTATGCAACCATAAAGAACAAGGAATTGGAGACATTTATAGCTGAGTGGATGCACACTGAGGACATACTGTTAAGTGAAATTAGTAGGACACACGTGTAAATACCATATAGTTTCTCTGGTGTGATAAACTAAAAGTGTAAATAAGGGTCAAAATGTATAATTGATATTTTGTAATGGGAAAAAAAGGTCTAAAAATTATTGGGCAAATGGGAGGGAAAGCGGAAAGGAAAAAAGTGAAAAGAAAAAAGAGAAAAGGAAGAAAATGGAAACAAGGTCTTTGTAAATAGGGAAGGGTGGAGGGGGAAAGAGAGGCTAGGGGAAAAATAAGAACCAAGATATGTCATGTAAAGGTACACTATCTCAATGAGGAATGTGACTGCATTGTCTATCTAAAATGTACCAATAAAAATATTAAAATAGAAAGAATGTAACATTCCACTTGATAGGGCTGAAAGTCTTATAGGCGACTTCAACTTGGAATGTTTTGCTCTATTCCTTATTGCCTCCATTCCCCACTGCTTTTGCGCTCAGAGTAAAAGAGGGTTAGTGGCTGACAGTCTTCCTAATTGGTCAGTGCTTGTATCCCAACAGTATTAAGTATTTGGAATATTTCTCCTATGTAGAACATTATATATTTTGCAAATAAATGAATGAATGATGGACTTCTCTTGAGGAATCTGAAGCCTGTGTGATCAATGGCTCAGATAATGCATTTTCTTATCAGAAATACTGAGATATTATACATTGTTTTCTTTGCTAGAGCAGATATTTATGCTCCTAATATAAATTTTTAATATTTGATGTACTTTTCAAATAAAAATGCAGACAACAAAGAACAAATTTGAAGGCCAATGGATCAATTTTAAATTAAAATCTGCATCAGTTTATATTTTGTTAAGCTCAAAGTTATTATCAGCATTTTGGTTACCAATTATTTCATTGCTTGTAATGTAAAATGATTGATTTTTTGAGAGTCAATCAGTTAAAAACCTAAGTGTTCTTTCTATATCATGTGATATATTCTTGTTACCAAAGATTACAAAGCGATAAAGTACTTGCAAAGAGAAGGAATGTACTATAATGTTGAGATCCATTTTTTTCTTTCCTTAAAGCAGCACATTAAGAGTTCCCATTTGTTAACTGGCTATACAACATCTAGAATTGGTAGCAAGATTTAATTTTACTGAGTTAACACAATAAGCTAAATCCATTTCTCTCAAACACCATGAACTGATGTAAAAATGTGAATTTAAGAATGAATTCCCATAAGAGTTTTAAATCACAGTTGAGCAGTAATTGCATTTTATTGACTTTTTCATAAAGCAGCTTGTCCGAATGTCCAGTCTTTAATGTAGTTCAAACAACTATATTCATATTGTGGTAGCATTGGGTAAATAATACTATGAAAAATAGTGAACTTCTAAGGAGTACTCTACAATTCTGGGTCTAAAATGTCATCAGCATTTTTTTTTTACCAGATTGAAAAATCATCTTGGTTTTACTGTTGGTACATATGTGACATTTATCCTGCCCCAGACAGACTCTCAGCTAGCTCCAAACACGAAAAAAGCAAAGTAGTGACAAATATAGTAATTAACATCTGGGTTTAACAAGCAGGGAGGAAGAAACATATGTTCAGTATTAAGAGAGGATTTATCCATTTGGATTTATTTTGACATTTGATTTCTGCTTTAGAAAAATAACATTGCTTAAACCTTAAGTGATATCACTGCCTATTTTAAGGGACTTCCAGAAATGAGCAGCAGTACTGAGAAGTAAAATTGTCAATGAGAATGGCCTAGAAAATGTTGAAAACAATAGCTGTTGGGATATTTCAGCTAAACTCAAAGGTAGGGACACATGTGTTTGGCTAATGGAATAATTTGCTGTAACTTGTATGACATGTCTATAGTACTCTTTAAAAAGATTATTAAGTTAATAATTCCACCACACAGAGCAAAATTTAAAGAAGCAGAAGAAAGTGTTTGCAACATTATTTGTTTGAATGACCCTAGAAATACTGAAAGAAAAAGAGGGGAAGAGAGTGAAGCCACAGAGACAAAGCCATGTAGATGCAGGACAAGGGGTGTCTTAAAGAAGCTCTTAACTTCATTAGAAGAGATTATTTTATAGTTGTGGACTTCATTTTTGCTCATTTTATTTTATGAACCCCTTTTGTGTGTGTGTGTGTGTGTGTGTGTATGTATGTGTTTGTTGTGCGCAAGAGAGAGAGAGAGAGAGAGAGAGAGAGAGGGAGGGAGGAGGGGGAGAGGGAGAGGGAGGGGAGAGAAACAGAGAGAGAGTGAGACAAAAAAGAGGGGAAAGAGGAAGCTAGTGAGGGAGAAAAAATAGGGGGGAGAGAGAGGAAGATGGAGAGGGAGAGAGAGAACCTCAGAGATTACCTCAGAGACTTATAGTCAGTCCTCCCTCCGTGTCCGGGCTGCTCTTGTATCCATAGATCAAGTCCCCAGAGGTCTCTTATTTGTCTAACTAAACTGCTTCTGACCTTTAAAGTAACCTCATCATTTCATTCTCTTGACAAAATGCAACACAGTTCATAGTTCAGAACGCCTCTAGAAGGCTCCATAATAATACTTGAATTTAGCAAATTGAGGCTGCCCAATTTCCTATTCAAGTTGTACTATCTATTTCCTTTTCTCCCCTTTCCCTGTGCTCACTGATGCATAGTATTTCTGTTCATGTTTGTATCATCTGCACATTATAAACTCCTAGAACATAAAGTGCATCTTGTACTATTTTAATCTCTCCAGTTTCCTCTCTCTACCAATTTAAAGCTCTTCATCTAGAGGGTTACACAAAGTAAGTGGTCAATGCAAATTAAAAAGTCTTCACAAAGTTCTGTACAAAGGCATGAAGTAGTTACAAATAAATACACCACGTGAGAATGGAGTATGAGTTTTAGTATCAAGGCATAATAGGATTATATTTGATTTTGCTATGCTGTCATATGACAAGCAACTATAAGAGAAGAAAGATGTTTTAGAAGGATTTTTCTGGGAACAGAGATAAAAATCATCCTATCATGGGAGAATTCAGCACAAATTTACACATCCACTTTCAATCTCTTGTTTATTAAGAAGTGATAAAATTGTAAATGTGTGAGAACTTCCTTTTTGTAGTTGATGTAACCTAAAATAATAAAAATAGGGTACATCTCTGATTTTATAGATTTTGATGTTTATGTTAAACTCTTAATATGTGATGAATGAGAGCTGTATCAAAAATACAAAATTTTAAAAATAACAGAATAAGATGATTAGTTCTGGAGCTATATGATTTTTAGGCCAATCGTGTTTCACTTAACTTTAGTGTTATTTTTCATTTCCTCAATATAAACAGATTCAGAGAAATAGCTGTAAACATATGGAGATGCAAAGCTTTCACAGTGGCTAATCCATTTGAGCATAATTAAAAATTGATTATTTTATGCATCACAAAGAACTGGGGTGCTTGGGCCACCCCACTTA